AACAAATAAAGCTATCAAACAGAAATAACTTGCATTAATTAGAGAAAGGACTAACTTAGATTTTGATATATTACAGTTGTATTTTACTTAAAAATTCACGGAGATATTAATGTTCAAAATCGGGAGCATATTTTGGGATGTGTCTAAAATTAGCGAAAATCGACATATCAAATATTAACTCCAAGGTTTGTTTGCTTAATGAGATATCAGGCTAACTTGTATTTCAGCGAATTGTCGTTAGGGTTTCTAAGGCATATGACGTAGATTTAGAAATTTTACATGTAAGTCTTAGCTCATTGTTTCCTGAAATATGAACGTCCGAAATTATGAAAGTACGTATTTAATAGGTATTTACAAACTTAAAGGTACATGAAAGATCATGCAAGGCAGGCGCTTAAATTTTTCTTAAATCGCTTAATTAATTAATGTTTTTATGTTTTTCATGGGTTCAAAACAGACTTGATAATTATTTCTCGGTTAGAGCAGGATGAATATTATTCTTTAATGAAGGAACTAATATTGCTTTTTGCAAATACACATCATAGTATTAACGCTACTACTTTCTTACATTTTGTTCCAAAAATGTTGGATGACTCTGGGGAGTTGCTTGTTATGTCTTATGGAGTTGTATGGTTTGATTGTGTTTCATTCTCGGTTTATTCTGAACTTGCTGAGATTAAGAAAAGGCAAAAAAGTTTGGGTGTTCTGAACAAGATTTCAGAACGTTGCAGAAGTTAGAAGAGCTTCACAATTCCATTGTGACAGCATACCCTAATTCAGAACTATACGAACGATCCATGACGATCCTTCGCGATGCAGTGGTCTCGTGAAATAAGGAAACGTATTCGTGCTGGGAACACACGCGGATTTCAGACGAATAAATCTTGCTTGTATTTTGTAGATAATAATACTTTGTTTCATAATAAACAATTTGTCAAGTGTCATTTATTTACTGGTAATAGTACATGTCTCAGTCGGGTAAATCTTGATTAATACTTGATACGCCGTTTTTTCATATTTCAGACACATCCAGAAATATGCTCCCGATTTTAAACATTGATATCTCCGTGAATTTTGAACTGAAATACAACTGTAATATATCGAAATCTAAGTTAGTCCTTCCTCTATTTGATGCAGGTTTTTTTCTCTTTAAAAGCTCTTCTGGTTTAGAAGTTATTACGAGTCAAACCGGAGTACTTTTTTGGGACACCCGGTAGATAATATAAATTACAACTAAATTGTTTAACCATCAGGTACAGTGAAATAGCTCGTTGAATTTGGAAATAACCTATTTTGATACCCACATTATTTGTGCGAGGTATTACACATATTGTGGTAAACGTACTAAACGCTCCCTGTCCGAGACACCTTCCCATATTCCTGCATAGTAATAGTGAAACGCCCTAATTAGATGGAGAGTGTATATTAAATGTAAATCGTTGTGTTGACTGACACAGCTAGACCAACACGGCCTTTTAGCTAAGACACTGGCACTGACCACGAACAGCCAATCACATTAGCGTTAATTAATCGCCAGGGGCCGGTTGTATAAAAACGTAGTTAGCGCTAACTGTAGTTAGCGTTAATCACTGTAGTTAAATCCTTAACTGTAATTAGTTAACTACGTGACTTAACTGCGTTGCACAAAACGTAGTTAGTCGGATAGTTAACTAATCACGTAGTTAACTGTGCGTGGGGCTTGCGTGGGGCGTTTAAACAGAAAATTACATAAAGTAAGCAGCGAGTAACGACCGCTGACACACATTTTCAACATGATTGTGGACTCGTATTTTGCAAATAGGCGGGAATTTTATTCAAAACACTAGAAAACAGTGAAAAATATACAAGAAAACAAGGAAAAACCGCCACAAAAATCATAAAAGAATGCAGTTTTCCTTGAGATGCCTATGTTAAACCAAGGTATAGCTGTTTGGCAATTATATATCAGTGTTTCTTGGTGTAATGGACCATACTTCGTCTTCGAGAAATCGTCCTGTGCAAAAATATGTTCTGTTTTCGTAAAAACACCAAAGCGATAGCGTTTGAAGAGTTTATATTTTCAGGAAACATTCACAGGGAAGATAGCGATTGAAAATCTCAGGTAACCGTTGCTTTTCATTGTTGTTTTACTGAAAAATGTTGTTCACTCCTATACAAACTCCATTTTTAACTACGTTTTGGACAGTTAACTATACCCTAAAGCATAGTTAACTTTAACTACTTTTTAACTGCAGTTAGCGCTAACTACGTTTCTATACAACCGGCCCCTGCATGTTACATAGGAATCACGTCTGTCGCCAGAAAATAGTGGTTCTTGTTACCTTTATTAATTGGCATATATAGTTGACTTTTTTATATTTGGCTTTATTGATACTCCCCTGAAGGGCCTTTTCAGTGACAATTAGTAAAAATTAATTCAGAAATTTGCATTTGCAATCAATTTTAATATATACATGTAGCGAGTGCGGAATCCACTTTTCTTGTTCATTTAAAACCTCGGAAGTTATCTCAAAACAATTTAACAAAATTGCGGCTGTAGCTCATTTTATTCATGCACCTTCTGCCTTTTGTGAATATTTTAAGCAGAATATATATATATATATATATATATATATATATATATATATATATATATATATATATATATATATATATATATATATATATATATTATATATATACTATTTTTAATTCTTCTTCACCTTCGTTCATTATAAACATTTATTTTGTAAACTAAATTCAGGAATTCCGATTCTGAAGGTTAATATTTTATTTAATTTGCTACGTTTCGAGCAGTTTGACTGCTCGTCGTCAGGCCAACTACAACTTTTAATTTTAAACAATGACATGCACAAACTGTCTCCTTAACCTACGTGATCTTTGCGCGCGCATGATGTCGTGCGCATCTTAGTCATTTCCTGTTTGAAATAACTGTTTAAAACAGTTCGCCACTCTGTTAATTGTTCAAAATTGTTCAACGTCTCTCTGCCACTTTGTTGTTCTCTCAATGACTCAATTCCTTCCCTTGCTTTTCTTTGCCTCAATCCCTTCTCCATCGCAATAATTCCAGCTTTTTCCCACTCAATCTCTCCTTTACACTTAACACTGTGTCTTGCCAAGCAGTGCTGTATAACAGTTACAGTTTATTTGTAACTAGTTACAGTTATAGTTACATTACCAAAAACATAACAAGTTACTGATACAAGTTACAGACGCCAAAGTGTAACTAGTTTATACAGTTACAAAGTTACAATATATTTTTTGTAACTTAGTTACAAAGTTACAAGTTACATTTTACTGATTGCAATTAAGAACGCATACAATTCGAATGGGCCGAATGGTAATGAAACTTGCGGCAAAATTATTGGCAAAATTAATAACTATTTACTAGATGTATCTGCATGCATCTGCAAAATTCCACCAAATCGATTTTTTAATAAAATTGTCAATAAAAAAAACTCTGCTATTATACAGTCTGAACGAATAGATTGAAAAAAAAAGAATATCCCTCACTGGCTAGTGGCTTCTGACTTCGCAATGAAAAAGCAGAAACGTGAATACGTGATCATGACTGGGTCAAGGCCAAGTG